TTATAAAATTAAGCATTAAAGAACTCTTGTTAGAAAATTCATATCAAATATGCTATAGATTAAATCAATAAGTTCTATAAGCCATAGTTAAACTTGCCAGTGAACTCCAGTGGAAGTTGGATTTACACACGGGCTAGCCAAAAACTTCTCCAAAAAAAAAAAAAGGTCTGTGTGTTTACATACACTTATGCATTAAGCACGTAAAGTGCAATTAATAAAGATATTTTTATGGTCTTTTGGGGAAAATACATGGAAAGCTGTACAGCAAAAAAAGGAAAAGCCAGTTTTCACACTCATATCAAAAACTTCAGACCACTGAATGCTGAGAGACAACTACCTTGAATTTTGCACAGATGAAAAACAGCTTTAGCGACATCCTTCCCTGTTCCCTTTTTTTTTTTTAGGGGGAGATGTGGGAGGGGTTGCATGTGCAGGGCAGGGAGGAGACCTTTCTGATACTGTCACCAGTACCCAACTCCTGCCTTAATCGACCTTTTTAAGCCCTTTATCACTTCAGCCTTTCCCCCTCCCTGCCTTACAAAGCAGCGGTAACACCTTTTTTGATTTCCTTTCTCCAAGAAAGGGAAAAAGCAGCTTAGACAAGGGACACAGCCCGAAGTGTGGAACCCAAACGCTGGGCTTTGCTCAAGCGTCTCTCCCATCACTCCGGAGTTTGCCAGTGGAGAGGTTATTTCTCTGCTTGTCCTACATGCTGAGAGTAGTTCAGCATCCCACAAGCACCTTCTGTTGCTCAAAACAATTGCTCACCGGCGCCAAGAATGCAGCCAAGGGCTGAAGAAAGACAGAAGCACAGGGACAAGGAGCACCCCAACTAAAAAGAGCATGGGCAAATCGATACAACTATTTAAGCCTCCTAAACATTCCCCAAAAGTGAGAAACACCATGCTGCTTGCAAGATCAAAGATTTAAAGATATTCCTACGCTGTTTTGTTGTTGTGGTTTTTTAAAGCTTTATTTTTTTAATAATATCTTCTTTAAGTGAGAATAAAAAAATTTACAGGGCGTATCTGATCCCTGTAGAAAGAAATGAAAATGAAAACCCTGTACCAACAGACTGTGCTTCACTGGAAAACCTCACACACACGTTCACAAATCCATGCCATTGGCAGAACTGGACACATACTGTTTACCCTCCAAAAGCGAAATATATTATAAAAAACAATATCCATCTATTGAACTTGAAAGATATGATTATCTGTGAGCTTTCCAAAGGTTAAGTTGAAGCTTGGGAGTTCGTGTCAGCTGAGAGAGAGGATTCATTTGTTCAGACAGCAGATTTGAATCACCTGGCTCATTCAGCACGATGAAGCTTTACCTTGTCCTCCACTACTTCAATATGTCCCAAAAAAGCTGTAGTCTAAACAGACCCAGAAGTTGTAAAACTTGTCTTTTTTCAGCTCTGGTCCTTCCCTCGTACCAAGGAGGGATTTTCCCCCATTTCTCCTAGGGATGTTTAGGGTTTTTGGGGGCAATTGTAGAAGGGTGGGACAGAGGAGGTAACACAAGATGACAAATCTCATCAAAATACAAACTAAGGAAGGATTCAAGAACTGACAAAGTATTTATTTGCCTGAGGTCTTACCTTGATGTACAAAGTATGTAGATTGTTCTCTAATTTCTACTTCTCAGAAAGGTAGATTTTAGCTCTAAGCTCTGGAGAGCCCCTGCACCAGGCTCCTGTCCCAGAGCATCACATCTGCTCTTTCACAAATGCTGCCATGGAGTCACCGCCACTGTTTGTGTAACAATACAGACCTATTGTGCAAGTATTTACATGCTGCCCAAATTTCCTCAGAAAAGCTGGCAACTAAATAGAAATATCAAGTGTTGCATACTGCTTAAGCTTCAACAACCTCCTAAAGAAGTAGGATTTGTCAGGAAGAGCTGTTTATTCCGGACAAAAACCTTTCTGAAAGGATCAAAAGATTCATCATTGCTTATGATGGAAATTGAAGTTTTTTTCTTAGAATGAAAAGCATCCACAAACTCACAGCTTACCAGTCCTATCAAACCAGGCACATTTATACTGTGGATGTATACTACAAAAGGTATCAAACTATTATGTTAACTGTTAACAGGTATCTAACAATGACAAAAAAATGTAACAGACTTGCTAGCATACAAGCAGGGATGTCCAAGGGCCTTTTAGACAGCATAAAATACACAAGGTATCTGCTTAAGCCTGACACATAAGAGAGAATTTATTAAACTCTCTGGTTTTTTGCTGGGATAGCAGGTACGGTACAATCAGGATGCCCCCTAAAGCTGCTAAAATGAGCTGCTGACTCCTATGTTCATGCAGTGAATACATTCTAGATAGGCAATTACCAAACAGTTGTAGTAGTGCAGTGTGTTTTCATTTAAAATACACAGTAACTCAGCATGATTTTAATAGGAGTCTTTCAGACAATTCCCCCTGGCCCTCCTGCCTTTCCTCCAAATCATCTTATCAAATGGTTATACAACCAGAAGCTTGGATCTGATGATGACAAGGCATTCACATGTGACCATGGGGAATGCCTGGAAGCACATATTCTGTACATAAATGTAGCCTGCCTAGCAGGGACACATCAGGAAAAAAGAAAGTGCCTTCAAAACACAAGTCTGACCTGCACACACAGTTGGCACACAGTTCAGTCACCATCTAATACATTGTTTTCTCAAAAAAAAAAAAAAAAAAAGAAAAATCCCCACACTAATTGTAATAAACTACCTACATCTGTGATGAGCACTAAAAGTTTATTTTTCACTTGACCCAAAACAGTGTCTTCTGAAGAGCCTTCTCTAGCAGCTCCCTCTTGAAGAGGAGGATGAGAACAAGTGAAGATCAGACTCTAAAACATTGCCCATGTGATAAAGAAAGTCTCGAGTTTCTATAAGTTTTTGAATAGGAGTTTATTATATGGTAAAAGCAAGCAGCCAGCTGGGTGACAGAAATGGGGACAAGTTTCCCAAATCTCCACATCTATTACAGTGTACATTTGGCATTTATCTTAGCTACTTCATGCATACTAATTATATCATACACATATACATTTTACAGTTTTTTGCTAAGAATTTAATATCTGGGTTTTCTTACAGCTAAAGCTAAACGGTTATCTCTACAACTGGTCATAAAAGATTTAAAGTTCTACCATATTTTATTCTTAGGATAGTAGGGAGGTTTAGGGCCCCTTGACCTTGCAAGGGTCTGTTTTATTTCTTTATGGGGGTGTAATTAAGTTTTACAATCCGTTTGTTTTATTTTGATGTAATCACCCATTTGTTTCACGAACCACAATTATTTGTCACAGCCCAGAAATAGAGAACTGGTTCTCTTCAAGTCACACAGATTTGCAGCCACCCTTCAAGATCAATGAAGTCTCTTTGTTGGCTTATCCACATTTCTGGAGGTCTTTTCTTGACAAAAAAGGTGGGGTATGGTTTTGAACGGAAGGAATTAAAGAAGAAACACTAATAAGCTTGAAGTCCACACTCTGCTAAAGTATTACTTTGGCAGGATTCCTCCACTTTTCTATTCCTACCATAAAGGATATCATCTTTAGTTTGGCCTATCATACCAGCACCATTTGTAAGTGGGGAATTCATATCCCAACTGTGCTTTAAAGACTCTGGAACACACAAATCACTCAATGAATGCAAGACCAGTTCATATAACAAGGACTAAAACTCACATTTCCCATTCCACAAACTATACACATCACAGTTAATTTGGTGTGACTGAACATCCCTCAATTCCTTTTGTAGAAACTTCATGCTGTACTCTGAAATTACTTTCTCTATCACTAAGCACAAGGGCAGACATACCAGCAGTAAGAGAGGCAGCACAGGGAGGATACAAGGGAACCAAAGTACACCATGCCTGAACAACAGCTCCAAAAAAAAGAGGGTATCAAGCATAAAGCATTAGAGCTACCTCCACGTTCAAGTAACACCAGTCAACAGAATCAGTAAGTAACTGTCAGTGAGGCTTTTTTGTTGTTGTTTTCAGTATATCAAGAGCATAGGTTAAAATAAGTTTGGCACTAGAAATATCCAAGATTAACGGAACGATTTCAACATGTTCACACAAGGGAACTAATTGACTTGGGTCCTTTCATGGGTCCTCAGACATCTATTTTGTCAAGGGCCTATCCTAACACTGAATGGTAAATAATGTCCAGACAACATTCATTGGTAAGGTGCTTCCAAGAGCAGCATCTCAGAGGCCTATTCTTTGCAGTATGGCCAGGAATCATCCCCAATAACTGGCCTTCAACTTCTTAACAAGAGTTGCTGTAAGAATATCAAACTGTCAGATACCTGGGGAAGAGGGAGCCATATTCTACAAAGAAACTATTTTTTGCTGAATAATTTTTTTTTCCAGATGAAAACTCATGTTTTAAACATTTTAAACCTGATCTTGTTGCACTTGACACTTTGCCTCGAGACATTATTTTCTTTTTAACCTAATGAATAACTGTATGAAGCAAAGTTTCAGAAGTACATAGCAAATGGAAGCATGAGTGAGAGGTTTTAGATCTCTGACACTGCACAAGTGAAAAGGAGCTTCTTTTGTGGGAGACAGAAGATGAAGGAACTGCTAAGATTAGAAGGCATAGTGGGAGTAAATAAAAGGTAACAGGGAGGCTGGGAAGAAATAAGTGTCTATACATAAATACTGAAATTGAACAGAGGGGAAAAAAGCACCTTACTGAGATAGGATGACAATTTAAGACAGTCCTCCATAATAAGAATGCCTTCTTTACAGCTTTGAAGTAGTAAAGAAACATGCATAAATACCTGACTTTAAAGTATTCAGCAAGACAAAGCTTTTTCTCGCTATTACAGTGAATAGCAATCAGGTTCCTGGTCACAGAATCTAACATTTTAAAATTCCAGGCAAATTCTCAGAGCCCATCCAACATGCTCAGACATGCTAACACCACATAACAGAGCTGAGGGGGCTTCAACTCTTTTTTGCAGACAGTACTAAGTTTTAATTTGTATACAGAGGCAACTGCTTCGCTAACAAAATGCAATACCTGCATCTTAATATTTTGCTGCCTTTTTATAAAGTAGGCAGCTATTAAGACAATTGGCAACTTGAATCTTTTGATGAGGACTACACTCAGACACACATACACTAGATGTACATTGGCCTAGGTAAGTACTTCCTCACAGACTTAAAAGTTAAGGTCATCAGTGATGTAGCCAGCTGTGCTTGTCAGGGTCAGCAACCAGAATGCACATGAGCATTCCAGAGAGTACCATAATGCAGGATATATTCCAATAAATTGTCAGGGTTCTAGAATCAACAGAAGTCTACTGAACTTATGAGATGACACCAAAAACAATAAAAACACAGCAATATATATGACATTGTTTTTCATGAACATTTAGTTCTGCACACCCAATACAACAGTCTGTATGAGACAACACAGAAAAGGAAAATCCAGTTTTTCTGAGTTGATAGCTTGGTTCCCTACACTGATAATACATAGTGGTTGTGTTCATCTGTGACAGATCACACTCCAGTTCTTCTCCCCTCCCCATCTTCATCTAAAACTAGGATTCCAGCTGTGTCATTCTTCAACTCCATTCCCAAACTTGCTAGAACCCAGCAGCTGCCTTCCTACTCAGCCCTATCAAACCCAACCCGACACCTCTTCATTTTCAATACCTCAGTCAAGTACCCACCACTCTGCTCCTTTAAAATAGACAAAAACATACAGAACCATAAAGCAGCATTAATCTGATATTAAGCACACACACAATGAGAGAGACAACTGGAAGAACAGAAAGTACTTCCCTTTTGTAAGAGTGGAGGGATGTAAGAACAATGCTAGAAACCTCTGAACCAAATGACAGACATCTTGGTAATCCATACAGCTACAAAAGCCACCGAGTAGATGTTCCTGTCTTCACCAACACTTCAGAAGCAATGGAACCTTCTCTCTCTCGATCCATACATATGATCAAGCACTACGGGCAGCATTTTATCTAACTGAACAAATCAGTGTTGTTTGAACATAAAGACTGAAGCTACATATGGGTAAAATTTTTCTTATCTATTCTATAAATTGAACTACTCAAAAAAAAGCTTTCACCAAGGACTACACAGTCAGGAGATTAGAGGCAGTTGCAGGGACTGGTAAAATATCATAAGCCATGCACATTGTTATAGCAGAAAATTCTAATGGGCAGCATTTTCTAACACCAGTTTGTAATTCCATAAAATGCAATTACACCACAGGCATTAATGGCTTTAATTGAACCAATTATGCTCTAAGAGGTAAAAGACTAAAAATACATACTAAATTATACAAAGTCTTTAGTATAAATAACACTTGGGAGTTAACAAAATACTTGTGGGGAGACATATCACAGATGGTCAAACAATGTAGCACAGTGATATCCTACACAAACACTATCACTGGGTGATTTTTGTTTGTTTGTTTTAAGTAGATTCTTGTTTAGAGTTCTGAATAGTGTGTATTTGGGTCAAGGCTAAATGTTTCACTATTTATACATCGATTTTCTCCTTCCCCAGAGAAAATGCTCCCTCCTCAACTCAGGGTCAAATTCAGACATCCGGAGAAAGGAAAAAATGACGGATTTCTATTTTCCCCATGAACACCATTTGCAATAACATGCCCAGGCATGACAAAGTGTTGAAAAGGGAATGTGACCAGAGGTCTCTTTCTTCCTAGTAGTCCCTCATTTAACTATGTCAGTCCATACTCCATAACTAGGTCCTACCATCACATCTTAGGCATTATATCTTTAGAGAAGCCCTTTATTCCCATCAAAGCATTCAGTGTTTCTCAAGGCTTTATGAAAAAGAGAGAAAACAGTCAGCTGCCTAAAGCGATAAGTTACACTCCAAGAGAGGTTAAAGGCAACAGTCCTTGAAAGCCAAAGGAAAATTTTCAAAACTTGAGGCAACGTCATGATTCATTTCATCATGAATCTGGCAACTCTCAAAGTGAATCAGTATAATCACACTACTGCTGAGTCCAGGCTGATGTGACTGAGGCCTGTCCATCCTTCAGCAATCCCCTTCCTCCAAGAAAAAGGAATAACAAAACAAGGCTCAAAGATGTCATGAAGACATGGTCACCATCCTGAGGGTGAAGGAGCAAGGGCAGGAGAGGCAGATGTGAACCTCAGCAGGAGAGGCCTGCACTTCTCAAGGCATAGACAGGCAAGGACACACCACGGCCTCTGTATGAAGGCAGCTTCTTATTCCTGGCCTGTCTTCTCCTACCTCTGGCACACAGGTAGGGCCCCAGGGATGGGTTTCCTCGGATTAGGTGTGAAAAAGCTCACCTGAGGAGGCATGGGTTGCTGATATCTATCTATAATTTTAATCTAAAGGGACAGGTGGGGGGAGTGCCTAAAGAAAAGGATAAACCAGGCTGTATTCCAAAGTACAAAGGGGAAAAAAGATTAGAAGCAACAAAGTTGCAGCAAGGGAAGTTACAGTATTTAAAAAAAGAATTTTTCACAATGAGTGTAGCCAAACACAGGGAGAGGTTGCCCAAGGAAGCACACCCACTGAGACACAGCACAAACCAACAAGGTCCTGAGCAATCCAATCCAACAACAGAAATGGCCTGGCTTTGGCTGTGAGAATAAACCACCACCACCAAGTTAGCTGTGCATTATACAATAGCCAGGCACACACAGCTATAAAGTTTTCCACTAACAATAACAGGCCATGCTAATACAGTGCTATGGATAGAAGAGCAGAAAGACTCAAGCCTAAAGGGCAAGTCAGCAACTCGCTGATGTCACTGCCAAAAATAAACCCCAAGTCTTTTATTTTCCTCTCACTTCTACAGAAGAACTGTTACTGAGCAAGACAAAGGAAGGACGATTTCACATGTTTCTGCACAAGGCATAATACAAGGATCTTCACAGACAAGTGTTTAAAAAGCTTTGATTCTCAAGCATCCTTAATCCTCTGTCAGTCAATCAACTCTTAACACCCAATTGCTCGACATGTTCCTGGTTGCTTCATCACAGCCTTTTCCTACACCATGTATGGTGCAGGAAACCAGATCCATTGAGCTACTTCACAACAGTCCCATACCACAGTGATGGGTCACACAACCACCAGTCAAACACATCAGGACCCTTCAGCCTGGAATAAAGAGCATGAAGCACCACACTGCTCAGGATTTCATGGACAGTGCACAGAGTTGTGCAGGGCTGTTCACCACCTCCCCCAGCACGGGAACTGGACATAAATAAGAAAGTCTCACATACCGAAGGCCCCAAAGAACTGGCTCCTCACACAAGCATCAATTAGGCTGCAGAACTCCTTTCTCCTGGGCACTCTTGATGAAAGGCCTCCAGATAAAAAACACCTGAAGCTATTAAATACAGACTGAATCACAATTCATAGCACCTGGAATGAGCATTGCATGGAGACACCAACAGGTATTTTCCTGTGCTTACAACTCCTCCTCCTTGGCACTCTCTACCAACCACAAGATACACTACTCGTTTGGGCTTAGAACAAGACATCTAATTTACCACAGGTTGCCACAAAAGTTTTCCCTACTGTTTTTAAACGTTACACATTTCCACAATATTTCTGTGGCAAGGGACCAGCTGGAAGTTCAGAAGCCAGAAAGTGACAAGACACAGACAGGACCAGTTCAATGCTCAAGGGGTACAAACCTGAGAAGTACACAAACATTTTGCAAACTCACTTTGTTCAGTACAGCTACCCTATCCTCAGAAACACAAATATCATTATCCACAATCACTTAGGTGGCAGGCACATTTGGGAAGCCCAAATGTTTTAATGAATGGTTTTATTAAGAGCCAGACCTGCCCACTTATTAATTCCTATACCCTGGCACCCCACTGAAAGAATTAGGTGTTTTACAACACTGCATGCGTGACTAGAAGCTTGTCAGGAACCATTGTTTAAAACACTCAGTTGTTCTGCCATTAAGAGATTACTACATACACTGCAAGTCAGCCTAATAGTTTACTTAATCCTTAATCCCATTTTAACAAGATCTAGCCTTACCACTATTCAATACCAGAACCCCAGAGGACAGACACCTAGTAATGCTAAACCATGTAGAATACAGTAACAGAAAAAAAAACAAACAAAAAACAAAAACAAACAGACTTTGGGGGGAGGGAATCAAATTCCTTCTTGCATCCCTTACACACACACAGACTTTTCCACACTTCGGAGCTACAGGGCAGTATTACAATTATTTTGACTATCAGAGGACTGCTAGTGAAACAAGACATAAACGTGTGGCACAAAAGCTCCCAATCGCTCTGTTCACTCGGCCAGTGAGGCTACAGCAGCTTTTTCAGGCCTGCAGCCTGGCTGTGCAGGACACAGGCCGCCTCTGCCCGAGCTGCTGCTGGCAGGCTTTCGCCCAGGCCCTGGCCAGAGGGTTGGTGTCACAGTTCCCATCGAGAGGCACAAAAAGAGGGATACTCAGACCGATAACCTGGCACCAGCCTAACGCATGCTCTGCTACTTCACCCGCCGCAGGTCTGCTGAACAGCTGAGCTGGCGGTTCGGGGCTATCTCAAAACACACGCCTGCAGGAAAATTCTCCAGAAAGACAAGATTCAGGAGCAGTTTCTTTACAGATTTCCACAGCAAGACTGAAAAACACCTTTATTAGCAACAGCGGCTCGGCGCACTACCCTCCCGTACTGACTGCATCCAGCTCTAGGTGCAATCCCCTCCCCAACACAGGAGGGGCATTGACCCGTTCCAGCAAGTCCGGAGGAGGCCACCAAGTTGATCAGAGTGATGGAGTATCTCTCCTATGAGGAAAGCCTGAATTAGGATTGTTCAACCTGGGAAAGAGAAAGCTTCAGCGTGACCTAATTGTGGCCTTCCAGTACCTGAAGGGAACTTCCAGGGAAGGTGGAGATGGACTATTTGCAAGAGCGAGTAATGACAGGACAAAGGGGAATAGATTCAAACTGAAAGAGAGCATGTTTTGATTAGACACTGGAAAAAAATTCTTTACTGTGAGAGCAGGGAGGCACTGGAACAGATTCCCCAGGGAAGCTACGGATGCCCCATGCCTGGAAACGTTCGAGGCCAGCCTGGATGTAAACTCTGAGCAACTCAGTCTTAGTGGGGGGGGTTGAAAAGCAGATGATCTCTAAAGGTCTCTTCCAGCCCCGGCTACTCTGTGATTCCACGATTCTCGCAGGGTGCCCCAGCTGCGCCCCACGGGGCCCGGCTCGCCGGGGACCCGCCGCCGCCCCACCGGCGCGGCCGGGAGGGCCCGCGGGGCGCAGCGCGGACACCCCGGGCGGGACGTGCCGGGTCGCGGCGGGACCCGCCGGCCCCGCGGCCGAGGCCTCCCCGCAGCCGCCCAGCCCGGTCGAGGCCCCGCCGGGCCCCGGCGGCGGCTCCGCCCGCACCGGAAGGGCAGCGGAGCCGCCCCGGCCGAGGGGAGGGGACAGCGGGGCGGGCGGGCGGCTCTTCGCGGCGCTCCCCCCACGGCGGTACCTGCGCTGGAAGTCGGTCCGGAAGGGCGTCAGGTAAGGGTCCCGCTCCAGCAGCCGCTGCAGCTGCGGGGGCTCCTTGCTGGCGGCGGCCATGTCGCCGCCGCGGGCCCCGCCTGGTCCGCGCCGCCGCTAAATACCCGCGGGGAGGGGGCCGGGGCCGGGGCCGGGCCCGCCGGCACTGCCGCTCCTGCCCATCCCCGCCCGGCGCCGCCCCCTGCCCGGGGCCGCCCCGCCCCGCACGGCCCTGCTGGGTTCGGCGGCCCCGGTGTCCCGGAGCGAGCGACACCACGGGAAATAAAAAAAATCTGCGGTTAAAAAAAACCCCAAAAAAACCAAAAAAAAAGGCATCTGCCCGAGCCGACCCATCGCAGGAGGAGGAGGCGGGATGGCGGAGGGAGGGGGGGGTCTGCCTGCCGCCGGTCCGCGGTCCCCCCGATTTGTTTTCTTAGTGGCGCTTTGATGTGGGGTTTTTTTTCAGCGTGTCAGCGGCAGGGTGAACTCTGCGTTCCCACACACACGCACACACAGACGCAACACCCACCCCGCAGCCAACAGCACCACCGCCGCCCCCAAAAGTGATTTGGCATCGTCGTGAGCGCTGGAATAAATGTCTCGGCTGGCGTGCTCACAGACAGCTCAGCAAAACAAGACTCGCGGCATCCGTGAGTTTATCTGGTAAACACCCCTGTCTGTACAGCAAAAATGTCTCTTTACCGGACGCATAAGCCAAATCCTGAACAAAGTAAGATTAATTCAACTGATCCCGGTGCGGCTCTAAATGCTGAGTAGCGCAGGTGGTTTTTGGTGGCTGTGGAAGTTTTTGACCTCATATCAGCATGTCTCGTTTTTTGGATAGGCCACCGAATATCCAAGGCAACTAATCACCAGCCTGACCATGCCTCTAGGCCAGCACTGAGCACTTTTATTTAAGGTCCAGCAATTTTGCTTTGTTTAGACATGTAGTGAGAAAGTTTATTTAGAGGCCTCTTTTGAATGCTTTTCAGCCATGGTTAATAAACTTTTCAGGTCCTAGATACCTTACTCGTTTCCACAACCATCCCCATAATTTTTATCCTCGGTTTGTAACTCATCCCCCCTATCTTGGCTTTCTTGAATTTAAGTGCTGCTTCCCCTTCCTGTCTGCCAGATAAATAAGAGGACAATGTGTGGTGAACAATTCATTTATTACATTACCCAAAATTGGCTACAGTGAAAGTTTCTGTCTTGATTTCTTTCCTCAACAGCATGTGTACATTTAACTACGCTGTATTTCCTTGCAGCAGTTCCTATCTACACAGGCAAAAATCCAAGTATTTATGTCCTTTTTTTGCTTGTGGACGGAGTGCAACAAGTGTTCTCTGTCCCAGGAATATGTAGGGCAATAGTCATATTGTTTGCTAGAACAGTTGCCCCAGCAGGAGGCCCAAGCAGTTTTAGTTTGCTTATTGTAGAAGTAGTATCTATGCTGTAGAACTACCTGTCATATCCAGCTCTGATAGATCAGGGTGTCTTTTTTCTTTAGTGGCCACCATTTCTTCAGTCTCCCTGGAGACTGAAAAACTGTTGTTAAAATTACCTTTCTGTATGGCAGTGATTTCAGTGCATGTGCTAAACCAAAGTTTAGCAAGTCTTATCCATCTAGCTTCTTGCCTCATGATATGTGCATCGTGTTCTTTTGCAAATGGGTCACCCTCATTCTCACAGTTAACTAGTTTGGCAGACTAAAAGGAGGAGAGAAATTCCAGCTGATTATCAAGAGCCAGGAAATTGTTGGGTTTTTGGTTTGGTTTGGTTCCGTTTTTTACAATAGTTGCTGCTGCTTTGGAGCTTCTGGGTGTTTGGTACTGGAGAGGTCACCTGCTGTTGAAGTGGAGGTAGGAGAGCAATTCCTGCAGTCTTTGAATGCACAAATGCTGGAAACAGAAGCTTCACTCTTGGTTTTATTAATTGTCAGGAAGCTCAAGCAGGTTCACAACAGCGTTATCAGCTGTTTGGCATAAATACAAGAGAGAGATTTAGAAATTAGCAGTTTGTGCAGGAATCTATCCGTGACTTGCACCTCCCTGAAGACAGGGACCCCTTTTTAACCTTCATTTGGAAGTTTTCAAGTAGAAATGACACGGTATCCAGCCTCATATACAAGCAAGGTTGTACTTCAGGAAGTTAAGTTCTGCAAATAGCCCATGTCCCTACAACAGACAAAGCCCAAGTGCTATATTTAACACTCTGTGAACTGGGAAATGGATAACCGTACCGGTTTTGTCTACTCATGTTTCATTTTACAACTTGGGCGTGATTTTATCAGCCTGCTTTATCAAAAAGTAACTCAAAAACACTAAGGCATACATTACTGTGATCATCTATTACACCACGAACCCGTTGAGACTCAAAGGCCGAGGTCGACTCTCAGAACACTGCCATTTAGTCCTCTACCTGGAGGCAAAACCAGCAGTTCAGACAATTAATGTTGTCCCAACAGCTGAATGTGTCTTTGTGCATTTGTCAGAGGTGGATACAAAGCTGCCAGCTGCTGCTGCCAGTAGGAATAGGAAGAGGAGGACTGTTGGGTATAACTGCTCTTTTGTGGGGACAGCAGTATAGGAGTGGTGTCTAAGTTGTGTGTCTGGCACCCAGTTACCGGTAGGACTGGACTTTATCAATTATTCTAAACTAGTCTTTCAAAGGATACTCATGCTTAAGTTATGTATACTTGAAAATTTTGCATAGCAATATTGAGCAGTAACTGTGCAGTTACAATTATTGTAACATCAATTTAGATGAATATGAAAAGTTCAAACAGAAATCAAACGTTTGGATTAAAAGCCACCGAAAATCTTGAAAGCATTGAAGAGAAAAATGTCTGCCCCTGTCACACAGTACCTCCATTTTGATGCACTAATATTTTGCACTTACTTTACAAAAGATGACAAAGATGCTGAACTTGGGGGAAAAAATTAGGAAAAAAATCCTTTTTTTTCACTAAGGCACTGATGCAGATTCTCCCTCATCAGTAATGTCTGTTCTTATCTCAGCCAGAATGGATCTGTGCAGTCTCTGGCCTTGACTGGCTCTTGCAGAACCAGTTCCTGAGTTTCAGGTTCTTCTAAACCTTCTAAGTGGCTTAGAGCAGCCCTGGTCCCTGGTCCTGGCCTGGCTCTGTAAGATGCTTCTAAGCCTGTCAGAGTCATCTTTGGTGTACAGGCTTCTGTTCTGCAGCTGTCATGGATGACTCCTAATTTACAGACTGCCCAATCCCCCAGTTCAATCTGTCTGAGAAGAGATGGCAGGTACCAAAGACAGCAGGCTATTTTTTAACTCTTGTGTTGAGAACATTTAAGAATTGCTAATCTCTCAAAGTGACAAGTTACAAGGCATGTCCTTTGTATGTTTAAATTCAAGATACTTAAAAGCTATATCGAACATTTGTCATCATTTCAGTCTAGGCAGAACTCCTCCCAGCTCCTTTTCCTGGAAGTCTTTTTACATGTAGTTATGATTGGCCCACTTTATTTGCTTTCATGTGAGGAAATGAATGCATTTTTTTATTGCCATTGCACCTTCCTTGAAGGTGTCTTTAAGATGAGAGGTAGTCCATGAGAAACAGGAACACAAGCTGTCACTTGTGCCTATACTGGATCTCACAGTGTGCACTATCAAGAAAAAGTGTTCCTGTGGACAGAGACAGCTGTTCAAAAAGATTCATGTTTTCAGTATTCCAGAAGAATGGATTCTTGAAGGATCACTCGTATGCTTTATACAGGTGTTATGGTACACATTGCAGCTTCCCACTTTTGGGCTGGCTTCTGCACATTCAGTACATAACACAAAATGGAGTTCAGAATTTGAAAGAAAATTAGCTTGCTTTGCCACATTGGCCAGCCATACTTCTCCCTGTTATTTGTTCAAAGATCCATAAGAAATTAATTGCACAGTTGTCATCCAGATCCAATGCAAATGCCCCCCTTAAAAAAAAATAAAATCATCCTTTATCTCGATAGTCTTCCCAGACACATCAAACATTGGTCATGGAGATTTAGCTCATTGCAGGGAGGTTGGAGTAGGTGACCTTTAGAGGTCCCCTCCAACCCAAACTATTCTATGACCCTATGACACGTATCCCTATCTTTGGATTTGCCAAGGTGAGACACATTGGAGAAAAGAAAAGGCCAGTGTTGCACAGCTGCTGGCAAACATCATGTCACAGTTCCATAATTAACACTGTACTTCAAGCAAAGAGTCAGCTGTTGGATTACATAGGGAGAACAAAGCACATATCCTTGAAAGTCGCAGCAGACATTCCAAGTATCTGTTGGTATATCATTTATAGGCTGGGGTTTCATAAGAAATGTAGGGTATTGATATTATATTTTAAGGTTTTACCTTTGCCCTGTCATGGTATCATGGTATCATCGAGCTTTATACAACAACACCTCTTCAGATATCCAAACTAAAGTACAATCTGAAATACTAAAAAGCCAGATTTAGTGTTGTGAAATTCCAGTAAGCACAGTCGGTGGGAATGCCGTTTTCACTTACCATTCTGAGCAAAATAAAAACACATTCCAACAACTTGAAAGTCCTGAGTAATGATTGCTTTCACGATATTACAGTGTTATTATGATTTGGTGTCCTCACATTATACAACAGAATATCAAAAAAACGTAAATATTTTTTGAAGTTTTTTACGCATTAATCAAGACACTTCAAAAAGTGATGCCAATTTAAAAATATCAGCAGATGCAGAAAATATTTGTTGTGAAAATGCCTGATTCTTACTAAAAAATCAAGTAAGAATTTGTGAAACACTTCACAGATACAAAATACAAGCAAACTTAAGGAATATCATGATATTTTTTTGGATGTTGTGTATACCCTGTTGTTTGTATGCCTTCTATATCTATTTCTCAAAAGTAAGTACTGCCAGTAGTAACAACCTTCTACAACTCCCAATACTGCTGTTTCTTGTTGTTTGCATGTGTGTTTATGTTTTGGGGGAAGAACAAAAAACTTTCAGACTCTCTCCTTAACTCCATACCCACAATACTTGGCAATGTGCCAATGTATGTTTATCTCTAACACTTAAAAAATAAGTAACTTGAGCTCTCGGGGAGAGTTGTC